AGCCGCAGCTTCCTGTAGACAACGACCCAATAACTTACATATTACAATTAAACTGCTATTAATGAAAAAAAGTGTTTGGAAAATTTATTACAATAACTAACCGTTATGTCTTCTTTGTTTGTTAACGAAAACAGCGTATTTATATCAGAACTAGGGCTAAATTTCACAAGAAATCGAATGGTGTAATTGGGTTTCAAAAAAAAAAAAATTAATAAAAATGCGATTGAAAAAAAACATTTTTTGAAAAGTGTTTTTTTTATAAATAATGGCTAGAAACGAAGTAAAAAAGTATTTTGAAATTCAAAGTCTATGTTTCTAAGAAAAAAATACCCCATATTGATAAAATGATATTATCGATTTTTCCTGGTATCTTGATTATAAACATTTTTTGAAGTTGTGTTTTTTAGCTAATTTTCTGTAAATTGATGATTATTTTTTACTCTTTTGTATATAGATATTAATTTAAACAATATTATCCATAAATATTGACAAATACATATTACAATTAATTAAACTATTAATGAAAAGAAATGCCATCTGTTAAAAAAAACCGTGGTGCGAATTCACACTAGTGTGACCTTTTAGGGTTAATAGCATAGGACAGATCTTTTTTCCTAGAAGAAAAATGAGACTGGGGTCCTAATTATTAATAATTCCTAACATCTTCACCAGTGATTCACACATTTTATATTCGAGTTATGTAGATTTTTACTTTTAATTAGATAAATTATTAACTCAAATTATATGACTCCATGTTAAACATCCTCAGAGAAACAGAGTGTATTCGGATTTGTTTTCACTGAACCGTTTTTGACCACATACTTAATTCTTAATTTTAAAGTCAGTCGATCCTGAAACACTAGATTTTTATTGTTACCAACATTTAAAAAACATATCAGAGTATCTGAACCAGGATAAACTAAGATAGGTACCTAGTTCTTATAATTTCTGAAAATCATGCTTTCACTAATTTTTTTTATATATTTCAAGGAGTCTATTACTATAGTTGTAACCCTGATAATGATTGATACAAAAATAGAAGATATGATTTAAAAATCCAATGTTATTTCTTGATAAATATAATTAGATTTTTTAACAGTAAAAAAATTCAATATACTTTTGAGTGAATAGAATTAAACTTCAGTTTTTCTAATCTTCTCTCAATAAAACCTATATAGTTCTTGATATGTATACACATATCAATAATCAAAGGTCACCATCAGTTTCTTTAACCATGCGTTAAAGTCTCTTTTAATTTGTTCCTGACAATATCATTCAAAGCAACGATTAGCTATCTAAATATTTAATAGGACTTAAAATACCGCGCTTTGATCTGTTGACAACTTACTGAGATAAACTCTCATTTTTTATCATACATACTTCCTATATTGCACTGAAATCTATTTGGACTTGTTTTCTTTCGAACTATAACTTTGAAATTATTACTAATGAAAACCAAATTTACTGTTTCTGACTACATTATTTTTCAATGTGTGAATAAGAAAAATCATCAAAAAAGTTAAAGAATTAAATAATTAAATACATTGGAAGTCTATTGATACCAGTTATCAATTTTAATCATTTTATTTTGAAGATCATTAGCACAGAGAATATAATTAATATTAAACAATTAGTTATATCATTGATAAAAGTGTTGAATAGAAGGGACTCAAGAACAGATCTCTGTGGAACTCCAGATGTGGCTAAGTAATCCACAGGATTGAAATTTTACTCTACTGACATTGTAGTAAATACGACTGTGAAAATAATACTCAAAGATTTCACTGAAATTACATAAAATAGAGATTGTATGAAAATTAGATATATCCTAATTATTTTTTTTATAAACGGGGTATACTAGTCCTAAACACACACGTTTTGGCACATGAATTGATTAAATAAGTAAGTGGATGTGCTGATACACTAGCATAGTACTTTACTATGCTAGTGTATCTATTTGGAAATTAGGGCTAATAAATAAAACTGGAGACGTCTGTTTAGCTCAGCTTTTATTGAAAAAGTGCTTTTTAGATGGGCTTTTTTCTCTATAGTTATTAATAATACCTCTTTGAGAAAAGCATGATCCAAGCTCGGTCTTAATAAATAAACAAAGATACAGTAAACATATTTAAATCGGTTCTGTGAGTTTTAATTTCTGTAACTGTATATATCGCATAATATTCAACATTTAGAATAAATGTTGGCACAGCAATCGGCCCTATTGTTGTTTTTAGTTCAGTCATTGAAGGTAAAATACGGTGTTAATGTATAATTTTTCCAAACAGCACCGATTTGCACCAAAATTTGGATTTAGACTCTACTTACCCTCTACTTCAAAGTTGACCCTCTGCCGGGGGTTGCTTTTTATTTTTTAGGGGTGAAAACTACCCCTATTCGAAAATAATTATAGAATTGTAGATTCGAGCGTGTAGTAGATTGAAATCATCTTTAAATAAGTAATTATGATGAATTGAAAATTGTCAACCCCTAAAAACCGCCCCCTATGACAGTAATCATTAAAAAGTGATGTTGAAAAATATTATTCAGCAATTTGGAATAATTTAATCATATGGTGATATAAAATTAAGATTTCTGTACTGTTTTAATTTTTTATTATTTATTTGTAAGTTTCAACCCTTATAAAAGTTAAAAAATTTTTTAGTTCAAAATATAATATAATCTTTTTATTATTTAAAATGTAATGTATTTTTTTATTTTTATAACAAAAATTTTTTTTATTGCAAATAACAAATAATCAAAAATCCTCTTCACTCTCTTCCTTTTCTATTCTATTCCTAAAATTCCTATTTCTATTCCTAAAATATAGCTGTAAGTGTATTCATCTATGCTTCAATATACGTGTTCTGATATCTGCAAAAATATGTAATTGGTTTTTTATTCATAACTCGCTTAGTTTTTATGCTATCAAGCCCTTCAAAAAACCATTTTGTAAGTTTTTTCAAGGGCTATAAGATCAAATATTTGATGGTTAAATATTTTTTCAGCCTTATTTTTGTAAGGGTTTGTGCTGAAAGGGCTTGAATAAGTTGCTATTTACGAACATATGCAAACGTTAAACGGACATCTTACTTAATTTTTATCCTACAGAAAAAAAAAACAAAATTCTCATAAAAGCAAAACCTACAATTTTATAATCTACAAAATTTTACGTATCATTAATAGTTTTTGAGTTACTTTGAAGAAAAGACAATCTTTTCCAAAAATACAAAAATTCTCTTTTCACTTCAAGCTCAACTTTTTTTCAAAATTAAGCACTTTAAACCGGTCATACTTCTAGAGCATATTACAAGTACATAAATAAAGTAAACTGTAAAGTGGTAACGATTATTTTCAATTGGGGTGGTAATTAGGGGGTGATTTATACATTTTTTGTCGCCGAAGAAAATACGGACCAATTTTATTTTCGTCATAACTCGCTTAGGTTTGATACTAGGGACTTTTATAAAGAATAAAAATAAAGGTTTTTTCNACTTTTAATTTTGGCGTTTGACGAATAAGAACCAGCCTTCAACAAGCTATTACTCCGCTTGTATTGGGTCTACAGATACCATAGGTACACCATTCGTTTTGTTTTTTTATAAGCTACATTTTTTATAAGAACGATTTTTTTTATAAAATACTTACTTTTTGTGTTATTCGCGAAAAACCGTCTGAAAAAGTGTTTTTTTTGGTTAACAAATTTACACATTTTCACTCGAGAATAAGTTGAAAAGTATTGACTTTCAGAAAAAACTTTAGAGAACAAAAGTTGCTTAGAATTAACGAATACATCAATTCCCGGAGTTATTTTCAATGAAACATTTTTCACCCCCGAGAAGAGGTGGCACTCACCCCCAGGGTAAAAGCGACCCTCGGTACAAGGTCAACTTTGAAAGTAGAGGGTAAGTAGAACCTAGATCCAAATTTTTATGAAAATCGGTGCTGTTTGGAAAAATTATACGGGAAAATGGTCATTGACTGGACTATTTAGTCTTTGTACGTTTAAGGTGGCCATATTCCCGGCCGAGAAATAGTGAAATTTCTGGCGTTTTTAGGTACTGAAATCTTTAAAAGTAAAACGTGTAGAACAAAAGTAAGCACAAAAATGAAATCCTTGACGTTTTGTTTATTCATTGTTACCATTTAAATTTACTCAAATAAAATAATAACTAAAAAAAAAGCGTTTGTAAAACATGCGTTTGCTGTTATTCTAACCCCACATTTTAAGAATTATTTTCACGTACTTATAAATAAAAGTAAACAATTTTATATGTAGGACTAAGCAAGTAAATGTTATAAGAATATTAATATGTGGAATTATATATAAAAAAGTTAGTATTTTCGTAGATTTCAGTACCTAAAACCTTGATGGTTTGATCGTTTTTTGCACCTGTTTATTCGTTTTACTGCGGCGTCTTTGAAAATACCCAGATGGCATGACATAACATTCCTATTATTTGATAAGCTTTAGATTATTCAGATATTAAATGTTTGAAATTATTTGTCTTTGCGGAAAACACTATTTAAAGAATATGGGGCCCTTAAGAGTTACAAGAATCTGGCTTTCATCGAACTGAATTATATGAACTGTAGAGTATACTGCAGTAGAGGCTAGATTTAAATTTAAATCAATATTACCGGTGATTGCTGATGTGAAAGATTTATTAAAGAAAGACTGACTGAATATTAATAATTGTTGGGAATGAATCTTTATTTTGGAGGTAAAGTTGGTTGAGCGTACACCCATCGTTTGCAATGAATGGTAGCGGCGTGCACCGGCGCGAGTACCAACAACGTGGTGTGCAGCGTCGCGCCGGCGGCCGACGGTCAGGGCTACGGAGAGTGAAACCCGGCGCTTGCGTCGCCGCGCGCGGAAACTGAAAGTGAAAAGCGAAAAGCGCGGCCCCACTCCTTCCCCTACCTTTCGCTTTCGGCCAGCGAGCCGGGCCCCTCCAGAATACTTTCCCCGGCGGTGCGTGCATCTGTGCAGTAGGCTTTGGATAGAGCCGCATCGAAGACGTGTGTGTACGACTGCTACCAAGGTCAGACAACTGAGCGTTCAGAGGCCGCGCCACGCAGGAAGCGCTCCCGCGACGACTTGATCAAGGCCCACGCATCTCGCAGGCCATGGCACCTCGCCGACACCTGGGACAAGTTCAAGGCCTTCTGGGGATCGATTCCATGGAGGAAGCCGGCGTTACCCGATGCTGCGTGCCCACGGGCGAATGCTTGCGCGCCCAGCAGCAGCTCAGTCCCAACAACAACGACCCCATGATCATCTCCCTGGACGACCTCCGGGACACGGTCCGCGTCACCTGCAACAACGAACTCTGCATCTCCGGCCGGTACATGCATCGTGAGTGTTTCGATCAGTGGGAACAGAGCGTATTGGCCTACCTAAAGACATGCGGAAGGGCCCGTTCCTGGTCCGAGAGGCAGCGCCACCAGAACCTCTGGACCAAGAAGGGCTACGACTTGGCCTACAAGGCGTGCGGTTGCAAGTGCGGCAGAGGACATCTCAAAAAGGACTTGGACTGGATGCCTCCGCCACCGACTAGCAACATTTTCGGCAGGATCGAGGAAGTAGATACCGGCAAGAAGAAAAAGCGCCGCAATCGTAACAATTCGCGACCTTCCCTGGCTATAACGGCGAACCACCCCATTGGGAGCGAAGTTCGCGGTCGCGCCGGCAGCTTGTCGTGCTCCAGCACCGGGTCGTCTTCTCCTCCGACCTCGGGCAGCGAGCCCAGTGTATCCCCAGTTCATGCCCATTCCAAGAAGAAGTCGAAGATCGAGTTGCCGGAAAGGATTCGGTAAGTCAAATTGTCGCTCTGCATGACAATTCCCAGTTTACTTAGAAATTTTTGCTCCTCCTCCTTTTGGAGGTCTTGAACCAGAAGAAGTTCGTGATATTTAGGTGCCTATTTTATTTCAAAGATCTAGGTATTACAAATAAATTTAAAAAATATTTTAAATTTATTTCAATTAGCTTAACACCTTTAAAGTAAAATACTTAATATAAGAGCTAGAAATAAAGTATATAAATGATTTGGAAATTATTTAGATAAGAAGTGTCTCTAATTTGCATAAAAATTTACCTTACCTTGAAAATCACAAACTTTGTGCTTTCAAAATTGAAAGGCGAAACATCAGCTATATTTAGAAAACAGATAAACAATGAATTCAAAAATTCTAGTACAAAACCTAAGAAAAAAACAGTGCTTTACATAAGATAGTCAAAGTAGCTAAATTGGTTGAGTATTGGGTGTAGACTCAAAAAATTAACCACCTATCCTCCAGTACAACCAGTCAAATAGAAAAAGAAACATTTTTTACTTCCCGAGCTTGCAACATAATAAGAGAATCAAGATTTTTATCTTAGCCTAAGGCTTTATCAAAATCTTGATCAAAATACTTACCTTACAAAGGGGTCATTTTGACGAATTTTACGAAAACCAGCAAACTAAACAAAATCTTATTCTAACGGTTCTCTGTGTTCCAATTAAATAAAAATGGGTAGAAGAAAGCAAAATATTATCCGAAAAAATAAACTGATAACTTTTGGGGCCATTCTTAAAGTAACATTTATGAATCATTTTACTAATTTGATCGAATCAAAGGATCAAAGTAATTACATAGATGGTATGAAAGTTAATTTTGATATCGTCATTAAAATATTTCGATCAAACAAATGTGTAAAATAATATTAATTACGAACAAGAACAAATAATTAAAAATATTACCTAATTACTAAGCATGACAAATGCTTATCTGGCAATATAATCCAACTGATAATTCCTAGCTGTACAAAACATAATAGACCATCTAGAGTCTCTCTCTCTATTCTAGTCATATCACCCTAATTTTAAAACCTGCTGATACATTCATTTGGGACTAAACAGAACCCTCACAACTACCCTTATCTACCTCCTAAAATGCGGCTATACTTCTGTGGTAAGAATCTTATATAGAATACGTTTTGCATGTATTCTAAATTATTCAAACTGTTGATTGGTTGGCATATTGCTCTTCGCGTGTAAAACCACGGAAACAAATGCAAACGGAATAAATGAATAAATATTAATTAATCGAAGATATTAAATAATCATTCGATCGTATAAAAATAATGTAATCTAAATAGTATAATTAAATAAGCGATTCCATTTTCTTTGAAGTGGAGATCGGTATCAGTTTGTTTATAATGGTAAATAATTGGTTTAGTATTATACAGTCCATTATATAAATATTTATGGTGTTATTTGTTGGTTTGGCAAGTCTGACGCAGCTTTATAAAAAAGGCAAACACGACGATTTTATAACGCCAGATGTTATTTTTTAAGGCAGAACGCCTCTGAGAACAGAACGTAAATATAAATAGATGTTTAGCCATTTTTTGTGGCACCGAAGACAAGCGGGTTAAGAAAGTTCTGACATTATTAATAACAACAGGACTTAAGTTTGTTTTATACTGATTTCAAGACAGTGTGTCAAAAATTATGAAGTAATAGAATATAATAATTAAATTGTAGAGCACTGCCATCTCACGATATGTGTTTTTTTATATCAAATATGTATCTTGATATGACGCTACTGTACTTGCTTTACGGAATCTGATCGTTAGGACATTATTATCAGTGTTTAATTGTTATTTAATTGATTCTACGACAATCGTGATAATTTTTCAGTAGTGATTTTAGGAGAACATTTCTCAGTAATCTAAAGATTCTAAAAGTGGTGTTGTTGTAACATTTTTGACACACTGTTTTTAGGATTTTGATCTACTGAAAAATTGGTTTCCTTTTTTGTGTATTCTGCTACACGGCAAGTTAGGAAAGTTAAACTAATTGCCATATAAACAAAAGTATGCCCCGCGCCATAGAAATGAGTCAGATGTCATTATTTTGTATTAAATTTTTGTATACTTGCAGTCTCACGGAGAGAAATAAATATACTCCTATATTAAACACATTTTTCACCTCGCTTTTCATGTTACCTATATGTTAACAGTACGAAAGTCGAATGTGTCCGTTTATCGAGGGGCGATCCGCTGATGTAATCTTCGTACGTTTGCCCTGGAATCTTATGTAATCGTTTCTGAAATCTTTGCAATCTCCGTGTAATTAAGACGTTTTAATATTTATCTTTTTGAAATTTTGTAATCATCTAAGAATCTCTTTAAAATTGAAATCTATGAAATTTTATCTGTAATCTACGTAATCTTATCTGTAATCTATGTAATCTATCTGTAATCTATGTAATCTTATCTGTAATCCTCGCTGTAATCTGTGTAATCANCCGAAAAAATAAACTGATAACTTTTGGGGCCATTCTTAAAGTAACATTTATGAATCATTTTACTAATTTGATCGAATCAAAGGATCAAAGTAATTACATAGATGGTATGAAAGTTAATTTTGATATCGTCATTAAAATATTTCGATCAAACAAATGTGTAAAATAACATTAATTACGAACAAGCACAAATAATTAAAAATATTACCTAATTACTAAGCATGACAAATGCTTATCTGGCAATATAATCCAACTGATAATTCCTAGCTGTACAAAACATAATAGACCATCTAGAGTCTCTCTCTCTATTCTAGTCATATCACCCTAATTTTAAAACCTGCTGATACATTCATTTGGGACTAAACAGAACCCTCACAACTACCCTTATCTACCTCCTAAAATGCGGCTATACTTCTGTGGTAAGAATCTTATATAGAATACGTTTTGCATGTATTCTAAATTATTCAAACTGTTGATTGGTTGGCATATTGCTCTTCGCGTGTAAAACCACGGAAACAAATGCAAACGGAATAAATGAATAAATATTAATTAATCGAAGATATTAAATAATCATTCGATCGTATAAAAATAATGTAATCTAAATAGTATAATTAAATAAGCGATTCCATTTCCTTTGAAGTGGAGATCGGTATCAGTTTGTTTATAATGGTAAATAATTGGTTTAGTATTATACAGTCCATTATATAAATATTTATGGTGTTATTTGTTGGTTTGGCAAGTCTGACGCAGCTTTATAAAAAAGGCAAACACGACGATTTTATAACGCCAGATGTTATTTTTTAAGGCAGAACGCCTCTGAGAACAGAACGTAAATATAAATAGATGTTTAGCCATTTTTTGTGGCACCGAAGACAAGCGGGTTAAGAAAGTTCTGACATTATTAATAACAACAGGACTTAAGTTTGTTTTATACTGATTTCAAGACAGTGTGTCAAAAATTATGAAGTAATAGAATATAATAATTAAATTGTAGAGCACTGCCATCTCACGATATGTGTTTTTTTATATCAAATATGTATCTTGATATGACGCTACTGTACTTGCTTTACGGAATCTGATCGTTAGGACATTATTATCAGTGTTTAATTGTTATTTAATTGATTCTACGACAATCGTGATAATTTTTCAGTAGTGATTTTAGGAGAACATTTCTCAGTAATCTAAAGATTCTAAAAGTGGTGTTGTTGTAACATTTTTGACACACTGTTTTTAGGATTTTGATATACTAAAAAATTGTCGAATGTGTCCGTTTATAATTTATTTGTCTCTACTTTTATGATATGAAAACCGAGATGAAAACGTTTTTATGAACTTCGCATAGTTCGATTTAAAGATAGGTAAAAATAAGTTTATTAGAAATAACTCAGTAGGGTAAAATACCCTTAAAAATAAAAGCAATATAAGAAGTACTGCAAATAAATACGCTAAGAAAGTATACTGTAGTGTTTTGAAAAAATTCTATAAATCATTTTAAATAAATACGACATTGTGGTAAAATGTGTTTTAGAAAATCTTTTCAGATAAACACTACAAACACTGAGGTACATAAATTGCAGAATTCGCGAGAGCAACATTATTAAATTTTGCTCTAATAAATTTTTTTAGTGCAATGGCACGAAAATATTTTTTTTCGAAAACTGTCATCAAAATCAAAAGTCGACATAGTTGTTATTTAAATTACATGACTTAAATTTAAATTATTACATTTTAAGCAGTATAACAATAGTAACAGTAATGTGACGATTACAGTTTATTTTGCAGTACATGTAAAATGAAAGTACCGATACTGCACTGAGTTAAATTTATGCCAAATCCAATGCTCTCAGTCATCGTAGCTTTTAGTTCTGGCAGGTTCCCTTGGCTCTGCTGAAGATGGTAACAAATTTTATTTTGTGTAAAATCTTCTATATATGTCTCCGCTACCGTACTAGAACGCCACCCCCTATGTCGTTTAATGGTGGTAATATCGGCCCCTGCGTCGGCTAACAGAGTAGCGGAAGAACTTCTGAAGCAGTGCCGTGTATAAGTTTCCCGGCGCGGCAAATTGAGAGAAGTTGCTATTTCTTTTGATACATTCCTTATTTTGTTGACGCTAACCACTTGGTTAACACATTTTTCTCTGACATATTTCGCAAAAAATCTTCGACTTGTAGTAAATGCCGGACGTAAAGCGCAGTATCTGCCGTATATCTTCATTTGATCTGGACTTGAAATCACAAAACATCTCTGAATATGAGTTTTGGAATCGGGAATTGTTATAATAATAAATAATTGAATCGTTATCTTTGGTAACTCATCTCTTCTCAACGCTCCATTAACACCAACTATTAAAATGACCTGAAAAGTTGTCCAAAATTAATTAAATCCATCGGTTTATATTAATTTGAATTACCTTTTCTATCAAAAATCTATTATTAGGTGCTTCTTTCAAAAACCTCTTAATTTGCTCTTTCGTTAGAATTCTGGACTTTTTCAAACGGTATCCAACTGATTTGCTTTT